ACCTTGTTCAATTGCCTATAATCAATGCACATTCTCATAGTGCCATTCTTTTTCTTCACAAACAGAACTGGCCCACCCCTAGGTGACACACTAGGCCGTATGAACCCCTTATCAAGGAGTTCCTGAAGCTGCTCCTTTGACTCCTTCAACTCCGCTGGTGCCATACGATACGGCGGAATAGAGATGGGTTGAGTGCCCGGCACCAGATCAATACCAAAATCAATATCCCTGTCCGATGGCATGCCCGGTAGGTCTGCACGAAAAACATCAGGGAAATCCCTCACAACTGGGACAGAATCAATACTGGGAGCCTCAGCTCCGACATCCCTCACAAAGGCAAGATACGATAGACAACCCTTCCCAACCATACGCTGGGCCTTCAAGAAAGAGATCACTCTACTAGGAACATAATCAGTCACGCCACGCCACTCGATCCGTGGCACACCGAGTATAGCCAATGTAACTGTCTTAGCATGACAATCCAGAATAGTGCGACGCGGAGACAGCCAATCCATGCCCAAAATAACATCGAAATCCACCATACTCAATAATAAAAGATCAACTAGGATCTCTAGACCCCCAATAGTCACCACACACGACCGATACACACGGTCTATAATAACAGTATCGCCCACCGGGGTAGATACATGAACAGGTAAAGCAAGAAACTCACGAGGAGTACCCAAATAGCGAGCAAAGTATGATGACACATAAGAATAGGTGGAACCGGGATCAAATAATACAGAGGCATCTCTGTGCAAACTGAAATAATACCTGTAATGACAGCATCGGAAACAATGGCATCGGGTCTGCTTGGGAGAGCATAGGAACGGGCCTGACCGCCCCCTAATCGACCTCCCCCTCTGGGGCGACCCCTGGCTGACTGATCCCCACCCCTAACTAGCTGGGCGGGTGGTGGTGGAGCAACTGCCACTGAAGCAGATGACTGACCCCTCTACTGGGATGACCTAGCAACACGGCGGGGACACTGCCTCTTCATATGCCCAAACTCTCCGCATTCATAGCAACTCCCCGGTGCTGGGGAGGGGGACTGTAGGGAACCCCTGGCACCAGAATGACCAGTAGAAGGACCTGACACAGAGGAACCCTGGATCGACGGAGCACGGGACGAACTCTGAGCTGGAAGGGTGCTAAGTGATGAGTGGCCCTGATGAGAACTGTGGGAACCATGACCCGATGACGCCCCTCGATAACCTGAGGGATCAGACTGACCATGACGGAACTGTCGCTGCCATGCTGAAACTGGCCCCTCGAAGGGCCACCACTGTAGCTACCAGATCCTCGAGGCCACTTGTCCTCCCTCTCCTCTCGCTCCTGGCGACGGACAGACTCAATCTCCCTGGCAATATCCACAACCTCCTTGAAGGTAGCACCAGTCACCCTTTCCCTAGTCATAAGAATACGGAGCTGATATGTTAGACCATCAAAAAATCTCCTGATCCTCTCTCGATCCGTCAACCAAACCGCATGACGGGCTAACTCAGAGAAACGCATCTCATACTGCGTCACCGTCATCTCCCTCTGATGCAGCTGCTCAAACTACCTGCGCAGCTCCTCTCGGCGCGACTGTGGTACATACTTCTCCAGGAAAAGAACAGAGAACTGCTGCCCAGTAAGGGGCGCTGCACCAGCAGGCCTACGCCTCTCATACGCCTCCCACCAAGTGAAGTCAGCCCCCGAAAACTGAAAGGTAGTGAATACCACACGACTAGTCTCAAGAATCCCTGCTGTACGAAGCATCCGCTGGCACTTATCCAAGAAACCCTGGATGTCGGAGGCTGGAGCCTACCAAACCTCTCCAATCGACGCTGCTCATCATCCGGCATAGCTGATACAACAAACTCCTGAGCTGGTGCAACCGGCTGGGTTGGAGGTGCCCCCGGTGTCTGGAGTCCCTACACAACCTGCTCAGGTGTGCGAGCAACGGGGGTTTGGATGCCTCCCATGGTTTGAGAAGTAGCTGCGGCCGTAGTAGTTGAGACCGCCTAAGCCAAACCGGTACACACTGATAAGATCTGAGCTAAAGCCTCCTGAAGGCCTGGAATCATAATAGGCACAGCTGGTGCCTGTGTTGGTGCTGCTGTAGCGTCCACAACTGGGACCTGATCTGGAACTGGGCCAGCTGGTGGATCTGCAGGTGCTGCTCTAGCTGTTCTGCCTCTACCACGGCCACGGCCGCGTCCTCGGCCCCTAGTGGCCGCAGCTGGTGGCACTGGTGGTCGTCCATCCTGCCCGGTAGCACGTGTCCTCACCATCTGTGAGATAATGGAATAATAGAAGTTTAGTACTCAGATCAACAACTCGCACGACAGGAATTTCAAGAATATGAAGTTTTTCCTAAAGGTTCTGCAGCCTCTCGAGGATAAATACAAACATCTCCGTACCGATCCGCGAGACTCTACTAAATCGGCTCATGACTCGCGAGACCTATGTAACCTAGGCTCTGATACCAACTTGTCACGACCCCAAATATCGATCGTGATGGCGCCTATCACATTACTAGGCAAGCCAACTAATCCATAAACCACATCCCTTTTTACTCTAACATTTAAGCCATTTGCTATCACAAATTTTAGATACTAAATTCATAATAAGCGTTAAAATAGCAGAAATATGCGGAAGGTAAAAATAACAATAAGTACACAGCCCCCGTAATCTGGTGTCACGAGTCTAGAGCCTCTAATACAAGTCTGAAAATCCACTACATAAATAGTCTAGAAAAGTGCGGAAAAATAACAAGATAGAAGGAAGAAATCAGGGCAGCAAACGCCATGCAGCTACCTCGAAATCCCCGACAAATGCTGAATAACTGAAAAGCTCTCACTCGGCCGCTCGGGCACCTGGATCTGCACACAAGGTGCAGGGAGTAGCGTGAGTACGCCAACTCAGTAAGCAACTAAAGTAAATAAGTACTGAAAGCAGTGACGAGCAGTTCGAAAACATATAACTTTAAAATCAGTTCTGTCATATAAATCATCATTTCCAATTTAAAACATTGAAATCAGTTATTTAGCAATATATCCAACTGAGGCTTATTTAAAAGAAGAGTGAAACAGTAGAAACATCATAATAGGGCCCCTCGGGCAAAGAATCACTTAGAATATGGAACCTTGGGCAGCCTCTCAGTCACTCGTGACCCAACTCTCATCACTCAGTACTCAGTCTCCGCACTCGGCTCATTCATATCTCATAATGATAGAAATCATAGTGACCGCTGCGGCGTGCAGCCCGATCCATATATTTATAGTCGACTACGATCACTGGGGGTGTGCAGGCTCCGGAGGGGCTCCTACAGCCCAAGTGTCATATCGCTGCGGCGCGCAGCCCGATCCAATATATATATATCGTTGCGGCGTGTAGCCAGATCCGTATAAGTATCGCTGCGGCGTGCAGCCCGATCCATAACTCACATTTATATAATAATATCCTCACACTTAGGTCCTCGACCTCTCTCAGTCATTAACCTCACAGCCTCTCGGGCACAACAGTGAAAATTAGGGAACTCAGTCCAAATAATTCTCTCTTTTAGAAATGAACAGAATAAACCAGTTTTAGACATTTAACAGGTAAAACATGACCGAGGATATGCCTTTAGCAAGTAAAGTGAGGAAAACAGTCAAAATGCCCCTAAGTGTTTCTACAGGTCGGCACAAGGCCCCAAACATGGCATACAGCCCATAACATGGTATAAATATTCAAAATACGGGATAATATAATATTTCCAAACCAAACACGCGGCTTAATAGTCGCTACAGGACGGACTAAGTCACAATCCCCACCGGTGCACGTCCACACGCTCGTCACCTAGCATGTGCGTCATTCCGGTATTTGACTTGTTTTGATAAACGCGATGACGCACATGCTAGGTGACGAGCGTGTGGACGTGCACTGGTGGGGATTGTGACTTGGTCCATCCCGTAGCGACTATTAAGCCGCGTGTTTGGTTTGAAAATATTATATTATCCCGTATTTTGAATGTTTATACCATGTTATGGGCTGTATTCCATGTGCCGTTCTTCTTCTTCTTCTATAATCCATATGTATAAGTTGTTTCTTTTGGTTCTTTAAGAATTTTATAACCAAAATAATCCTTAAAGTGGCAACAAAAATTCTTTGGACAGCAAATTGTTGCCGCAGCAACGGCACTTCACAGGCCACCTTTTTTTATATTTTGTAAATAACTTAACCTTTGAAGAACTCTGGTTTCCTTCAGGCAGTAAGCAACGTGACAGCCTGAATTATATCCATAGCTGATTCCTTGTTCTTCTAAAGATTCAAAAGAATATCATTGTATCTAAGGAACAAACCCCGTAAAAAAAACCTTTCTGCTCATAACTTTAAAGGAGGAAACACTCCTTTTCTCCAAATCTGCCATATGTCGCAGACACAAAAAACTGATTTATTTTCCATGTTAAATATGATTTAAAATAATCTTATTGATTCAACGCGATATAGGCTCTGATACCAATTGTTAGAACCAAATTACTCTAAAGATGAAATTCTTCATCTTTTACCCAAGAAATATCATATCAATTCATCGAGAATAAAATAAGATGCGGAAGTGTACTTGAATCCATGAGCACGACATAGATTCTTCAGTCTTGCGGTTATAGGTCTTCCAAACCAAGACGTAAGCCGTAATCGTCATTCTGACTATGGGATGCTAGAAAGAAACCCCACGTCTGATTTGGAGACCATAACCCTATTAATATATGCACACGTTTATGTATTTCTAATTTAGCCCATCATCAAATTAGAAACTACATCCGGGTATCTATATATAAGACCTCATACTTTACAAAGTATCTAATAGATTCATTTAACTTTAAAATCTTAGTGGATCACTTTTAATTTGGGTCAACCTTTTAATAATAACATACAATTATTCTTAATACTACCATATATATATGTGTGTAAGTCCATAAAAGCTTCTAACATTGACTCTCCAGATAATTAATACCACTACCACATAGAGGAAATTACGAAAAGAACAGGGGATTTAGTATTCATTAAGATTTCAATACTCCTCATTATTACGAATGAAATTGTCTTATGCATGGACATATATATGCAGTCTACGCATGCATAAGATTATTATTTATTACAATACAAGAGCTACCCAGATTTATGATTCGCATCATATAATCGACATTCGGTCGCTTGTATCCTTTACGAATAAAAATCGGAAGGTATTATTGGGGCTCAAAGTCAAAGCCAAACGCCTTTGTCGGTCAACTACCTCGATTCCAATGTCATTGCAGAAGGATTCTCCCCATGGACAAAACACCACCTTGTAAGAATAATCAGTAGGATGATCATTAAATTTCTTAATCTGAAACCAGCTGGTCATTTGTAAGGGATCTCCTTCTACTCCGTTAGTTGACAAGAAAAACGGACTCTGTGTCCCTGGAAAACCTTCAACCATCCACACTAAGTTGTCAGCACATGCGAAAGTTGGATTAAGATAGAACTTGATGTTAAGAGAAGTTGATTCAGTGATCTTTTTAACTTGGTTATTACGAGGTTTTAGAAACACAGGCATGCCGGGGTCTAGATCTTTTCGGGACTGCACCACCTGAAATGGACACACAAAATTGGAGTTGGCTTCAGTTCCATTTCCCAAGTCTCGTGTTACTCCGCCACCACCAGCTCCAGGCAACATGAAGTACCTGGAGTCTGATGTGAGAATCTCGCCTTGATTGTCACGCACCGGAGGAGGCAAGAGCTGGTTCGGAGTTGTTATTCTAGCATTACAAGAGGAAAAGGCGATAAGGAGATGGAGGAACGAAAGCAAAATAAACATCTTCATTTTCAATTCTTTGAATTAGCACTAGCTGCGCTTATTAATTGGTGATGGATGAGCTCTGAACTGAGCCTGAATTTATAGATAACAGATTTTGCTCGCATGTGAAACATGGTGGTGAAAACATGCTTAGTAATACTGCAGTTGTTTTGTTTTTTATTCTCAATTATTGCTACTCGATACATGCATCATACTGTTGAACAATTACTCACGCGTACGGAAAAGAATACTAAAGACTAGGAATTTTCAAAAAAGAGAGACAAATTGTTTAGCATGGGTGCTTAATATGGTTGAAATTATCTATATCGCCTTCCCTGGTAATGGTCCCAAGATTTGATTATTTTTCCACTATATATTAGTACTATACTCCATTTAATGTGTCCCACGATTGCTTGTTTTTTTTACCATTAATATTATACCATTGATTCAACGTGACAATTGTGTTACAGGTCCATATACTGTTTCAAACAAAATTAATGATGTCCCGGTTTTAACAGATTAATAACGTTTTCCATGCATGTTGGTTCACAAATTCAGCTGTTATTTTCTCTGTCTTAAAATATACTAATGATACGAGTTAGCTTTTCAAGATGAGTTTACTCTTAGTCCATTTTACAGTGTTAGAGCTACTCATCCTTCCTAATGTTTGGTTTCCATATTTTGTTATTATGCTTCAGTAGTCCAAGTCTGAGATTGCAAAAGGGGTGGTGGAAATTAGTCCCACATTTTTTGAAAATTAGTTTTGAACAATACTCATCACAAAATGAACGAATTTTTGGAGTTTGATTGGCTCTAAGAGGGAATATTTATTAAATCTCAATTTGCCTTTAATTTCTTAAACAAGAAGCTCGATCTTGGTATTTATATATGTTTGCACCAATGAAACTGCACAGGTTGCTTTTTTGGGGTGAATTCCACTAGGGTTGCTGTATGTCACCACTGGTCCATTGAAACTTGAATTTATAGAGCTTTTCATTTTTTTTTTTTATAGAGCTACTAATTGATGTGCTTGCATGGCAAGTTGGCAAGTCATCGTCCTTTACTGCCACGTTTTAATTATAGATTCCCTTTCGACTATAGATGATAAGATTGGCGGCTATATCTCTTTTTAAATTTTTATAAGAAGGGCACGTTTTAAATTTTCATACTTGTTTTATGAAATCAAAGCTTTGTAGAACCAATAAACACCATTGGAGTTTGGAGATGCAATCATTCAGTGGCCACGCAAGCAGTGATAATTTCTTACTCATTTTTTCATTTTTAATTATTTATCTACTATCCTAACAATACATTTTCGCTTTTAATTACTTGTCAATTTTAGCAATAAAGAAAAGATCATATCTTTTTTTTGTTTTACCCTTACCATTAATTATGCATAATTTCACAAATCATTTTTCAAGACTTTATTAAAATACTTTCATTATTATGGTAAAATATGCATTTTATCTATTATTTTTTAAGGGACGGTAAAGCCTATTATGGATAAATAAAAGTGACAAGAATTTATTTANTTTTTTTTTTTTTTTTTTTTTTTTTTTTTTTTTTTTTTTTTTTTTTTTTTTTTTTTTTTTTTTTTTTTTTTTTTTTTTTTTTTTTTTTTTTTTTTTTTTTTTTTTTTTTTTTTTTTTTTTTTTTTTTTTTTTTTTTTTTTTTTTTTTTTTTTTTTTTTTTTTTTTTTTTTTTTTTTTTTTTTTTTTTTTTTTTTTTTTTTTTTTTTTTTTTTTTTTTTTTTTTTTTTTTTTTTTTTTTTTTTTTTTTTTTTTTTTTTTTTTTTTTTTTTTTTTTTTTTTTTTTTTTTTTTTTTTTTTTTTTTTTTTTTTTTTTTTTTTTTTTTTTTTTTTTTTTTTTTTTTTTTTTTTTTTTTTTTTTTTTTTTTTTTTTTTTTTTTTTTTTTTTTTTTTTTTTTTTTTTTTTTTTTTTTTTTTTTTTTTTTTTTTTTTTTTTTTTTTTTTTTTTTTTTATATACATTAGGGATGTGAAATGCAAAGAACTTGATTTTGGTGTACCTGCAAAAACCAAAAGGCGCAGAACTAGGCTTTAAGTGTTAGTTTGGGTTTCTTGGACAAGAGACTAGAGATGTGTTTGGATTGACTTATAAAATGTAGCTTTTAAGCTAAAAGCTAAAGCCATAAGTTGGTAATATCCAACTTTTGACTTTTAGCTTATTTTATAGTATTTTTTATGTCTAAAAGTAAATATTTTTAAGTACTTTTTATCATTACCAAACACCACATACAGAGTAAAGATAGATTAGATCGAGTTGGGCCTAATCGAGAATTCAAGATGACTAGAATTCGGTCCATCAAAAGTTTGTGCGAGCTTGTTAGCTTGAGATCGAAGGTTAAGCAGACAAGATCGGCCACACATGAAACTTTGGATTAGATGTAGATATTTCATTAGAATTTTTAACTGAAATAGCAGCCCATATAAGACAGTAAAAACTTTGAATAGCCGTATTTTACTTTTATTACTTTTTTTAACTCTACTCTTACTTTCCCCGGTAAACATAATCGCTCCGCACATCTCTCCTCTCTCTCATCCCCCTCTTCTCTCTTCTTCACCATTTTGCTGGCCTTTCTTCTTCTTCTTCTTCTTCTTCTTCTTCTTCTTCTTCTTCTTCTTCTTCTTCTTCTTCTTCTTTTCATTCTCTTTCATCTCTCTATCTTCCTTGCTCAAATCCACCCATTTCTTCCCTCGTTTCTCTCGCCTCAAACCCAATTGGGTAGTTTTTTTGGGCGGTGCATCTGGAATTTTTCTCTCTTTTCTCGTCCTAATGGTGCTTGTGAGTGAGAATTTTTGTATAGCACTTGTTTATACATTGTATAACAGTGAAGTGAACATTGTGTAACAGTGATGTACTTATGTATACACTTTGTATAACATGTGTATAATGTATAATTAATGTATATTCAGTGCGTAATTTGGAATATACATGAAGTATGCACTTATTACATAGTTTATACACTGGTTGCTAATGGGGGTGGCAAAGATAAAGAAGAACATAATGATATTTAAGAGTTGCAATTGCCCCTGAGTCATCTCCGGATGTTGTGATCACTAGCCCTCCTCCCGGGACGGTCATAGACACCATGATGATTGACGATGATGGAGAAGCCACTGATGATGAGGCTTCTCTACACAGAAGACGACGTTCATCATCAACTCAATAGAATGCTCAATCTGTTGGGTTAATTAATTACACCAACCGAGGGTGATACCTCGGCACTTTGGGGGGAATTTGATTTAGTGGGAAATGCCAATTCCCGTTTTCGGTCCGCAATTGCTATGCGCGGTACCACAAGGCTGAGTACCCCTGCCATCTTTGGTTGGTGAGCATCCAACAATAGGTATGTTATGTACTTAGCCGCTGATATCAGGGTCGGCAAAGCCTTTAGCGGCGTTTCTCACAAAAGCTGATAAATGTCCGACTTATTGCCGCTAAATATCATTTGCTTTAACGGTAATTGTTTGCGGCAATTATAATGGCTGCTAAATCCAATCTAAAAACGACAACTAATGCTCTTTTTACGTCCATTTTTATAGCCGCTAAATTCAAAGTATTTATTGCTAAAGGTCTATACCTTTAATGGTAATTGTTTTGTGGTAATCAGAATGGCTATAATATTACTTCTGAAAATGAATTACTATGCCCTTTAGGCATCCATTTTAATGGATGGCAAATTCAATTAAATCGTTGCTAAAAATCATCTTCAATAGCAATTATAATGGCTACAATATCCCATGTTGAAACATTATAATTTGCTCTTTTATCGTCTATTTTCATAACCAGTATATTCTGTTAAATTGTCACTAAGTCACAAGCTATAACGACAATAGTTTAGCCACCATTGATAATAGCCACTACATTCATTCAAGAAATGATCCAAATAATAAAACATAATAATATTGATTAATAAAAACATAATGTATCTCATTAAATCTTAACAAACAAAAGGAAGTACTAATCCAAAATAGTAATATCACAGTAACTTAAAAAATGAACTTATATTGCTTGAAGCAAATAGCTATTGTCATTATATAACTAATCCTAACAAATAATAGGCGTCAAATAATTTCTGCAATGCTTCATCATTTGGAAATCTTTCACCTGCTAAATTATCGATTATCAGACTGTATGACCTGAAATTACAAAATAACTACGTCAATAGATGAAATATAGTAATCTTCAACTAGGATATTTATCGAGCAAACATTGCCCCAAGCTAAAGTTATTTTACTGTAGAATGACAGTTTCATTTTTTCTATAGAATAAGACATAACAAATCCGACTAAAACAAACCAAACTGCAATAGTGTAAATAAGAAGTAAATCAGAGGAATTTGCAAGATATCAAGCAAATCTGTAAGAAGCATAAAAGAGTCTTTTCTTTTGATGGCTTTATAAGCAAACAAAAGTCATTGAGATCCTAGTGTACATGGAGTATTCACGAGTAAAACAATGACAGCGGCAAAACCAAGTTGCAGCATGGATTGCTCTTACCCAGCCAATCAACCAAAATTACTGCAGGTGCTTGGAAAACCTACTCAGTGCAAGCAAGCATATTCCAAGGCAGACTGGAGGATCTCCTTACAATTGCATATTTCAATATTAGAATTGCATTTATTAGCATGCGTAGCTTTTAGGGAATGACATCAAGATGCCTAAGCCTGTGCTAAACAATTGCATATTTCTTTCATCAAAATAAATTGATTAAGTGAAGCCAAATCTCAAGAGCAGTGGGAACTATTGTATCAAGTTGTGCAAAAGAGACTTCATTGTGAACATGATGGAATGGTCATATCAGATGCTACACAATATAATAGCTCATAGTACATGTGGAATGGCTAAATGATAACTTAAAACATAGGTCCAGTAATAACTACTCTTGTGTAATCTAGGAACCAATGGAGCTTTTAATCCAAGAACGAAAAGCAGGAAAGAATCACTATTTTCTGCCCATGCTAAGCAACAAAAATTAATGTTGATAATCCACATGTTGTAGCTAAAGGATCAGATGTTTGTAAGCTACTCCCATAGCAGCTGGTTCTAGTGCTCATCTATGATTTCTGTCTGAGAAATAGTAGCAGGAACACCAGAATTTTCTAATCCAAGATCTTTATATGGAAGAAGATTTAACTGTTCCAGAAAATAAAGTTCATTTTTAAATAAACCAAGCATTAAAGGTAAAACATGGTCTGCACTTTCTTAATATTTTTTCTCTTTTTGATAAGTAAGGAATTTTTTTATTTATATAGAGCATCAATAATTCTAGGTTCTAACATCGGGCCAGAACTATTTCAACCAAACTATATTGGTTCTCTCACCTTGAGGAGGTTCTCCGCATAAATGAATGTACATGAAGCTGGAAGAGACAACTGAAATGAACAAAATTAAAGTAACTACTCGATTAGGCAAACATACCCAAGATCAAGTCATTATCAACAGTTAAATTTATTGCGTATCCAAACAGAGTTTCACTAAGGTATACCTCCCTCCGGAACTTTGAGACTGATGGTAGGCTCTGCAACTGCTTAAGGGACAAAAATCAGGAGTAGGAAAGACTTGAGGGCACAGGTAGTTAAGTTTTGCAACAACTCTTGAACTGGAATTCAGAATTGGAATCTCAATATTCTTCCTGCAAATGGCACACGAATAATCAACATATACCATATAAACAGGAAAACATAAATTTATTGGACGAAGCAAGATATGCATTTGAAAAGAAGAGATTATTATAAGGTTAGTTACGGCTCATGTCCTGCCATTATGCGCTGGGCTTCACCAAATTTAGTCGTCCATTGCTCATATGCAGTTGTATTTGTTACATATGTATGGCTAAGGTGTATCAAACAATTTACTTTTTTGCACATTTCAATGGGTTGTTCAGATGTATTCAAGTAATACGGAATAAGTGACTCTAAAGATGACAATTCTTGCAGATGAGAGAGTGTTGAGCAGTCAACAAGGAGCAGCACAATAGGACCGGGAATAGAAGGCTCCATAACTTGACAAGGATGAACCAGCACAACATTACCCTGCAAGCGAAGCACAGAGAATCTAATTAGATAGACAATAAAGCCCAATGTAAGCTTTCAAAAGAATCCTTCCAACTTACGGTGCTGTCTAGGTTATCTGACTGCACTGAATTACCACATTACATTTCAGCATATTTTGGCCCAGGTTCCACCTTAAATTTAGCAGCCTTAACTGGATCGAACTTCCCTTTGATCTCTGGCAACTCACAAATATAAACCACCAAAAGCTCACCAGGGTTTAATACAGCTTCCTTCACCGAGTCACACACTTTCGAGCAACATGGTCGCAAAAGAACATCAGATATATTGATAACAGTATCAACAATTGGAACATAAATATAATTGAACTTCATTGAAGAAGCACTAGCAGCTTCATCTGATCCTTACATTGAGAGAACACTGCGTATGAACCATGGCAGCATTTGGGACGAAAGATTTCAGTGCTTCAACCAACTGATCGATATCCGGGGGACCCCATAAATTGAAGTGCAAACAAATACTGAATTGGTATCAAATTTTCAAACACCACTTATAGTTTAAGAAATTTTGTGATGAATATATAACTAGTAAAATAAGCTAATGTGACACTCACAGACATCCCTTCTTTCCCCATTCCAGCCAAAGTCAATAAGAGACCTACAAGTAAAACGATTGAACTTCTTTGGTGGTTCTTAATCAACTGCAATAAATAAGCCAGAATCTTCTCGAGGATTGATTCGATCCAGGCACTCAAAAAGTTCACAAATTTCATATTGTGCTCAATAATAACCAACTTGGGAGTCCATCAGCAGTTTCTGAGCAGACACGTGATAGAAGTATGTCATCAATCTGGGGAAAAAAACTTTTATGTATATTCCCCTAGATCAACAATACGGTAACATACACTATAGACTAGGTTTAGAACAATAAGATTCTGTATCAGAATACCTTTGACAATGTAAGTTCATTCTCTCTGAAGAAGCACTGCAATCCCTGGGAGCAGAACATAAAAACATGCTGAGAAATAAGTTCAAATATACATTTTTCATGTTTTCCAATTTATCCTCATAAATCCTTTTTTGACAAAGGAAACAAGAACCAACAAAGAGCAATAAGGACAAAGGTGGAAAGCAGTCTGTAGAACATTTCTATGAAGAGGAAACCTACTAGAACAATAATAAAGACATTATTGAATCATCATGCGTCCTCACTCATCTACTTAACGTTTATTCTGGAAAATTGGCAATAGGTAGATCAAACGATCAATCAACTATTCCTCAACATGAAATGGAAAATGACTTAAAAAGGAACAGTGGTATGTAACAAAAATGCAAACAAGGTATCTCCTTTTTTTACAAAATATTAGTCGATCTATTTCACAAAAGCAATCAAGACAATGGCCTAAATACTTAATTAAATAGAAATGAGATGTACTGCCAAACTAACAAATGGAATCACAATAGAGGAAAGCTGCCAAACTAACAAATGGAATCACAATAGAGCAAAGCTATCCTTTTAGTATAAGGAGGAACAATTCGACACTTGGGTATCGCCTATTTTGTTGTGTAAGAAAACTAATCATAGTTAAGCACTGCATAATTAATACTACAATGTTTAGTTTTGGATAAAAAGTTCTGCATTTCTAATATAACCAGTAGGTTACCGTAATAAAATTCCGCATAACAAATACAGATGTAACTTGTATGAGAACTTATGAATTATTTTATACAAGGCAGAATGTGGAATAAGAATATGTATTTTAGCAATAAAATGATTAAGCTAATTCTTGACTTGGTTATCTCAATCTTCAACTACTAATTCACTCATTATTATTCATCGCAGAGAAGGGGAGACTTGGCGTAACTGGTAAAGTTGCTGCCATGTGGCCAGGAGGTCACGGGTTCGAGCCTTGGAAATAGCCTCTTGCAAAAATATAGGGTAAGACTGCGTAGGATAGACCCTTGTGGCCCAACCCTTCCTCGGACACCACACATAGCGGGAGCTTAGTGCACCGGGCTGCCCTTTATTATTGATCGCAGAACAATTCACTATATTACTGTTGCATAACTAGTCCGCAAAGCAGCGCGATATGTTGGTGTTGATGAAGGGATTAAGGATGATCAGAGTGAGAGGAAAGCAGCTGGACAAACTCCTATGGCTAAAGGTGCTGGACATGTACTTGATACTTCAAGGAAAACAGCTACAAATCCAAGGACTAGACATGTTTGTGATGCTTCAGGCAAATCTGTTAAAGCTAAAGATCATGTGGTTGCTGGTGTTACTACAGGTTCTGTTGCTGGACAAAAATCTACAAAAGTTGGGCATCAAAATCTTATGGGACAGGTGCAACAGCAAGTTGGGATAGCTGGTGATAGAGCTCCTACACCTGTGATACCAACTACACGACAACAATATGCTACTTCCAAGGTTGGGAAACCAGATGGTGTGACAACTACTAATTCATGTGCACAAAATAATGCAGCTACTACTGCTGAAGTTGGTGCGCAAACTGGGGACGAATGGACAGTAGTGATGAGGTCTCCTACTAAGCGAAATGCTGCTCTAGGTGTGAGGAATCAGCGGCAGAATACGAGTGTTCCAACTGCTCGACAAACCGCGTCAAAGGCTGTCACAAGTCCAAATAGTTTTGAAGCACTAGCAGAAGAGGTGAAAGTTGGCGTTAACTCTCTAACAATCAAGGATACTAGATTTATGTAGCAAATTACACCATGTATTAGCAGTAGCAAATAGGATCAGTCAAGTGAAAATATTTCTAAGAAGTTGGGTGTTTGACGAATTGCCTCGGAGAATAATTTGGTTGATAACGCGGGGGATGATCAAGTAGTGCGACACAGCACTCTTAGGTTGCATTTTTTCAGCCCAGAAGTTGAAAGAATTATCAAAGAAACTCAGATTTTCATGATAATAAATTATAATCCTACGATCAACCAACATGTTCTGTATATACTCGTTTATCTCATTCTTCTATTCTATCTATTCTCAATTATTCGATGCTACTATTTTTTTTTTCCAGATTTCACTTTGAATAGATATTTTTAGTGTTTAAATATAAGTAAAAGATTATTCTGATCCGTTCAGACCTTCATGCGAACAAACTAACCAGTTGCAAAATATTTTGCGAACCTTTTAGCCGCAAAAACTCCTCTTTGTAATAAGGTAAAAATTAGTAATAAGCCTAATAATGCACTAAATCACCAACCAACAATAGAGTAAAAATAATATATATATATATATATATATATATATATATATATNTATATATATCATACTCGGGCAAAAAGTTTGAACATGGTTGAATTCATATCTCGACTACGGACATTCAACTAAAATATCAATATGCATCAACGACACTTAGAAAATTTCTGAAAAATCACAAAAATAACAGTAGCCTTAGAAAACAGAGGAAACAATTCAAAAACAATAGAGTAACAGAGGAGGAATCAATCAATCAATCGACTATCAATCTAACAATAGCCAGATATCACAAACGACTTAGAAACACAAAAAAGGCTATACTTTCACTAATCCCAAAAGGCCATAGTTGGATGTCAAAAATCAAAAATCAAAGATTGGTACCTGGTAACCAGAATTTTTTGCCGATTAAGACAAGAAATTGAAGGAGACGAACGCTTTCTGCAATAATTCTTGAAACCATTACGAAAACAGAAGATGAAGACGAATGAGAGGAAGAAGATTGATAGCAAAGATTGAGAATAATCGAGCAGCATCAACCAAAATTATATGTAACTCGATTAAGAACGACCTAGGATGGTCGGAGACCGTGGCAGGACGGAGGCTTTTGCAGCGATAATGTTAACGCGTAGGTTTTCCTAGCGTCGTTCTTCTGTATCGTTTTCTAGCGTTGTTCTTCGTTTTAATTACAGAGTTTTTCCTATTGTTTTTCTATTTGGAGGTTTTCTAATGGGGAGGAATGTAATTTCTTGTCCCAAAAAAATGGAGGGAAAGATTTTATTTTCTTTGTACGGAGGAAAAGTTAAAATAATAAAAAATTTAATTCAAGTAGTGATTTTTAGTGATAATTTTTTTTATTGTCGTTAAAAGAATATCTTTTACTGGCTAATAGTCTTGTGTCGCTAATATTTCAACTTAAATAATTCATTAGTGACAATTACCCTATTTCCACTAAATAATTGCCGCTAAAGGCCTTTTTTTGTAATAGTGAGTGATTGCTACATCATTTCCATCTTCATCCACTCTTCCACCAGCAATTGCTACATCATTTCCACTGGCCGCATCTGATCACGAAGTAGATGTTCCTCCTCCCAAGTCCCCATTCATGGGAATTTGAGGAAAAACTATGCTGCTCCTTCTGAAGATCCCCATCAGAGGAGGAATGTTACTCTTTTGGTCTCTACCGGGTGCAACCTGCTTTCCCGGCCGGTGGAGCTTGCTAATTACCTAAAGCCTTTGGATTCAGAGAAGGATTGGGAAAAGTTTACGGCACTCTCAGGAGAGTTCATGTTGAACAACGCTATGCACAATGCCACATCGGTATGCTCCTTTGTTCCGTTGTTATTTCCTCTATTTTTATATGAACATATTCTGAGTTTCATATTTCTTGTTTAGTAGGCCAACTTTCTTGCTTCTGAGGGCCTTCAGAGGTTGATCCGTGATAAGGAAAAACTTACTTTTGCTCGGGATCAGCTTTTGGCAGAGTAGTAGCAAAGTGTCGCTCGCCTCTCCGAATTGTAAGCCAAAGCTGTTGAGGCTTCTACATTGGAGGTTCGTTTGCAGCAAAGCGAGTAAGAGGTGATAACCTTTAGCCAAGAAATTGGCCCGATGAGGGTTAGATTGATGAAGCCAAGGCCAAATAGGCTGAAGTCCATGTTGTCGTTCTTGCTGCAATAGAGCGTGAGGCTGCCACTACTGAAAAACTTACTGACTTAGAGGTAGCCTTGAACTAAAAAAATCAAAGAGCTTGTTGCTGCAGGGGCGAAACATGCCTAGTTGGGAGAGAAGTACAAGAAAACTATCGACCATAATAGGCTCTACAGTTCAACTGTTCGTGACCTTCATGTTATTCTCAGATCTGTCAGGTCCGCCCAGGAAAGCCTTTCTATCGAGGTAGCTCAACTCGAAGAAGAACTTAAGCGCCGACCGACTTCCTTCATTGTTTTACGCTATGTATAGAATGAGGAGAAAAAACTTGGAAGAGGCCAAAACTGGTATGATTGATTTCGATGCAGAAATTGCTAAGGCCCGTGAGCTTGAGTTAGCTATAAAAAATGGGCTCCCAGCACAATCTGGTCCTTCTAGTTCCGATTCTGAGTTCTTGGGAACTGAAGAGGATACGGAGGAAGATGAAGTTGAAGATCAAACTGGGGAAAATGTCGAGGTATCGGTGGATCCAACTACTTCTCCCGGGGGCACGAACGCTTCTCTTCCTCCTGGTTTTGGAGATACTACAGTTTAGCTTTACTTTTCTTTTTCCAAATCTTGTATCTGCATCATTTTGGCATGTTTTTTGTCAATAAATACATCTTTTTTCTCAAGTATTGTTTGAGTCTTACTTCCATTTGAATATCCATGCAAGTTTTTAATCTTTGCATTTTCTTCCTTTTCCTTAAAGGATTTTGTGCAAGTTTTCCTGTTTGCAACCTATTATCTGTAACCATGGATGTATTTTTCCCGAAAGTATTCTGGTTCCGGGCATCAACCCTATTACGTGGGGGTCTCTGTAAGTATTTGCGCAAATTCACTTTTGAGCCTTTTCGTGTACGTCTTCGGGTGCATTTTTCCCCGAAGGTATTTTGATTTTGGGCATAAATTCTTCCAAAACCAACCCTTTAACGTGAGGGTTTTCATAAGAGAGGGGCGTCTTACGTTTACGGTGCTCTTTAAGAGGACGTCTTCTTTTCATTACGGCACTAGCATTTGAAGTACTTGTTTAACTTTCAAATGAAAAGGTTAGTTCATCGTTCAGACTAGAACAAGATAAAAACAAAAGGATTTTATTTAATTCCTTCTATTTTCAAAAGTATACAAGCATTAGCTATGCTAAAAAGAA